CAGTAAACACTCCCCACAGCACACCAATCGCTTTAGAATTGCGTAGAAACCTTGAGGAATAGTAGTGAGCACTTTCACGATATTCCATTTTTGAGTCCATAACTTAAACTGTGTGCGGGAAAGCGCAGTTAACTCTGTGCGCACTGTAACAGGACTGAGTGATGTTAACGGTAGGACATGGTGGGACGGTACGGGGGTATTTGGCCCGGGCTGGTAGGAGAGGGATGGGTTGGGCATTTCTTGCAACTGAAACACTCCTTTGATCATTGAATATAGGATATATTACTCTTCAAACATTCATAACTGTCCTTACGTCCAACTTAAGTAAATTGGACGAAAGATTAAAATCTGATCTGTTTTCAATGATAATTCCAGTTATTGAAGAAGAAAAATGTTGTGAATTTCTAATATGTACGTAAGTTGTTTCCAAGCAGGGGCGGATACAGGATTTAAGTGAGGAGGGTGCTAGATTAATTTAGGTGCAAAAAATCAAATCCTGATTCAGGAACAAAAACTTGCCTAAAATACTTAAAAAGAGTCAAATTAATAACTAAAGACTAAAAAACTAAATTTTTATATTATCACAAATTATATAGCTTACAATGTACATAAAAAGAAGAAAGAAGAGTAACATTGAGTAAGCTTACATTTAAACAGAGAACAGGTATTTTGGGAGAGGCGCAACTAGGGGGTGGGGGTGGGGTTTGGGCAAAAGCATGCTACAATTGTGCCTTTGTACGTTTTGTCAAGACTTAGGAACAAAATACATACAACATCATAGATAGGAAGAAATATCGTACTTGAGAAAAGGAACAAAGCCAACAGGTCAGCTAAGCAAATGCAATTTAGGATTTTAGGAACAAGGTCAGAAAAGAAAGAACTTGGAACATTATAAGTTCATAAAAAAAGGAACAATACAAAACACGAATGTTAGGGGAGTTAAGAACAAAACAGAAAGTACAAGATTAGGAACATGAAAAGAGGATTGAGAAACAAAAAAAATATAAAATGGAAACTTTAACAGGAATATTGACTATTTAACCAAGAGCAAGCTAGGAACAATAATAGGAACATTAGGCAAGTTAAGAACAAAAGAAATTACTAATATGCATGGAAATTAGGAACAATATTACAATTTAATAGATAGGACATTTCATAGATAGGTCATTTCATAGATAGTTTATTTTATAGGTAGGTCATTTCATAGATAGGTCATTTCATAGATAGTTCATTTCATAGATAGTTCATTTTATAGATAGGTAATTTCATAGAAAGGACATTTCATAGATAGGTCATTTCATAGATAGGACATTTAATAGATAGGACATTTCATAGATAGGACATTTGGTTAGGTATAGATTGTACGGTAATATACTGTTTTGATCTCATGGTTGGAAAGCATCATACATGTTTCTTTTTGAAAATATTAAAGCATCAAAACTAACACTGCATGATGTAGAAATTTATATGTAAATAATGGAAATTGGAAAACAATTTATGTAACGAACATTTTTTACATTTCATAGATAGGACATTTCATAGATAGGTCATTTCATAGATAGGACATTTCATAGATAGGTCATTTCATAGTCATTTTATTGACTATATTATCAATTTGGACAAATAACATGCTTTGAATTTTAAATTTGTATGCTTTGCTTAATCTAACATAACCCAACTCTTGGAAATCTCTTAAATACAATTCAACTGTTTGAAATGTACGTTTGATTAGGTATAGATTGTACGGTAATATACTGTTTTGATCTCATGGTTGGAAAGCATCAAAAATAATTCTTTTTGAAAATATTAAAGCATCAAAACTGACACTGCATGATGTAGAAATTTATATGTAAATGATGGAAATTGGAAATCAATTTATGTTAAGAACATGTTTTACATCAAAGTAAATTTTTTATAAATATGAAATATGGATGATAGTAAAATTTTTTTTTCAGGTCGGTAATATTTAGAGAATATCATCATTTTTCACAAATTTTAGATTTCTATTCAAGAAACACTTGACTTATTGTCATTTTCGAATGATCATCTTTATTTAAGATCTAACGATGATTTAAAGTTTCGAAATGAGAGAATTGAAATTCTAACAAGACAGTTTCCTCGTTGTCTTATTTAGAGATAAATGGTTGGTAAAAAAACACCTGATCCAATCAATTGGCTCAAACATCTTAAATTAAGTTAAATCTTTCTACTTTGCTCCAACAACTACTCTACATCTTAAGAAGGATAATTTTTCCTTAAGATTTTTGTATATGAAAATTTGTGGATTTCTACTACAGTAGACCACAATGAAGGAAATGGTAAGAGGAAACGACGATATCTTCCTCTTTGTTTCTCAGAGTAAGGTTTGAATAGTACTGTTGTGAATCAGGCAGGTATTTTGTATTTAGGATTAATTGAAATTACGTCTACAGTTCCTTTATTATAAATAATTAATAATTAATTAAACTTAAAGGGACTGTTAAAGATTAATTTAAAGTGACCCTGCATGCAAAGATAGCAATGCCCGATTCATACCTTTGAAACCTTAATCTGATCAAATTATTGAATATACCGTAGTTTTCCGGCTTGAAAAAGTGATATTGTGAAAATTCGCAAAACACTTCTACAGAGAAACTGCAAATGAAAATGAACAAAAACATGGATTATAATTCATACTTCATCGGATGAAGCTTGTAAGCGTACCATCTTTGCATGGAGGGTCACTTGAAATTACGCTATCAGTTCCTTTAAGAAATTATGGAAAGAACCAAACCACCTCAGGTATTTCCAATTTCTCAATGCACAAATTCTTCCCTTTATATTAATAATAATTAGTTACCCACATAGGATGAGGCTTAAATGACGATTAAACTCTTAGAAAACGACGATCCTTGGGGATTGTATAATAAGCTTATTGTTTAATGATTTGACAGGATGCTGTGGATGAAAGAAAAAAAATAATTTGTCTCGTTAAGTCTCATCTTTGGTTGGTAACCATGTGGCACGTATACCCTTCAACCTTCTTTTAATTTTATATACATTAGACATTAAAGCCACAAGGTGCGGGTGCCCATTAGACATTAAAGCTGTCAGTAAAAAATACTTTTACATTTATGTCATTATTTAATTTTCAATTTTGTTACCATTTTTCAAAATACAAAATAATTCTAGGATGATACACAGTGAAAGAAAACCTAACTGAGGATTTACTATTTATAAGATAGTGACTGAAATAGTATTTCGACGCATTCGTAAATAATTGATATTTCATAATATTTTGTATTTTTCATGATCTGAGAGTTACTTTTGAAAACATTTATTCCAGTTTCGAGGATTTTTGATAATGAAGACGACATTTTCATTCTTTCAAGGAATGTTACTAAATCCAACGCCAGCGAAAATTATTTTTAAAAAAAAAACATTTAAAAAAAAACAAAATCAAAAATATTTTGAAATAGTAACTATATACGAATGCGTCGAAAAATAGTCGATGACTACTGTTTGTAATATCTGAATGATTTCTTTGGAATTAAATTGATTTCTTTATGACCCTAGTTGAATGTTGCATCTTTCCGAATTTGTATGGACGCTGCGTTCTTCGGTGTTAGTCGTTATTAACAATTTTCTTCTTATAGACGCAACAGATAGAAATAAGATAAGTAGCGATCAAACACATTTATCGCATTAAGCCTATACCCCCTTTCATTTTTCGCGAACACTCCATTTAAGGTTTATCAAGATCAGAGTATGGTTTCCAACAGCAGTAGGATTGAAAGGTCTCAAGCTCTAAAGCAAAAATCGATGAGAATTTTGCCAATTACTTCTTAAAAACCAAAGCTAACATCAGCTTTATATTGCTAAAATTTACATGCTACAGAAAAGCGTTTGTGAGTGAGAGCGGTAAAATCCAAAAATGAACTTTGCAGAAGCAGCGCAAGACATGCGCAATTCCGCTCAAACACTGCGTGAGAATTGCGTAACAAAAATGTTCACTATTAAGTGCAAATTACGCTACAGTTTTGTTATGCGAATAATTAACAGCTATTAAATGAATTTGACATGTAAATTTTGAGGCACATTTTTTTTGCAGTATTTAACTTTTTTCGTTAGAAACCGTAAAAATGCGGAATTTGCGGTGGAATAACACATTTTTTATTTTGTTGTGGGAGGGGGGGGGGATAATTATGAATAATACACCCCTTTAATATATTAAATATTATTATTCCGTACAGCGTTTACATTCAAAGACGGGAAAAGCGCTATGCATTTCAGGGATTTCGGGAATTTCCCGTTGTGCCATACTGTGTATAGTGTATACCGCTTTAGCAAATGAAAATGTGAACGAAAGAGGTTTATCATTTATCTAATTTGTCGAAAAAAATATTTGTCGGAAAAAATGAAAAATATTTTTATTCAAGAAAAAAATATTTTTAAACGAAGAATATGTTTACAATTATTTATTGCTTTATTTAGATATTAAGTGTGTAATACATACATAGTACAAATAAATAACTTTTTAATTATAGAACAATTCAACTTTTTACAAAAATTATATTTTATTGAATTACATAGATCAGACGTTAAAACTAAAAAGTAATAATCGTTTACAAACTACATGTAAATTCCAACGACATAAAAATGAAAGGGACTGTATCTGTAATTTCAAGGGATCCTCTACGAAAAGGGAATGTCTGATTCACATAGGTACCCTGTAAACCTTTAGACCTATCTTCGAGGGCAGAGAACTCCGTGTGTTAACCTCTTTGTTGAGGTTCAAATTGCCGTATAATAGTGAGAGCTATGAGCAGGCTAACGTTACATTAATTCTTCGAAAACCCGGAATATTCTATGTCCAACAAGATTTTAAATATTTTTTAATAAGCAACAGGATAAGACCGTCATCCTTGACCAGTAAATGAAGTACTGCTGTGAGTCGTACACGCTACTCTACAGACGGAGGGTTCCTTAAAAGGTCTATGAATGGGGTGTATTTTTCTTACCTTCTGGTAGAACTTGATTTGTTCTTTAAGGAACTGTTGGTGAGAAGACTTCAGGTCTTTTACACGCTGCTCATGGAAGGTATTCATCTCTAGATAGATAGATAATTAGATAGATAGGAAGATAGATAGATGGATAGATAAAGATAAATTAATAGATAGATTAAGATATATAGATTCATCACGGGCAACGCCGGGCACTTCAGCTAGTTATATATAAAGTAGCTATCTGTTTGTTTAGATGCCCGATCATAACTCATGAACCCTTAACCGATTTGCAACAAATTTTGATTGGGAAACTCGGAAGACCCACGGGAATGTTCTTAGCTTGGGTTTAAAAAATTCCAAGTTGAGTGGGTAAATTTTAGTAGGGCAGTTTTAATTTCCAAGCAAAGCTGGGTTACCAAGCTAGTATCTATTAAAAAGCGATAAATAGAAAAGTTGGTTGAACTACGTCTTGGCGGTTCATGGACCTATCGCATAATAATTATAAAAATATTAAGGGGACTGTAAGCGTGATTTCAAATGGGGTTTCTACATATAATAATTATAAAATATTAAGGGGACTGTAAGCGTGATTTCAAATGCAAATAACAATGCCCGATACACAACAGCACCCTTTAAACCTCTGATCAAGAATAAATAAGATATCAATGCCTGCAACATAACTTCTCGTAATTATCAGAATCAAATTCTCTGAACCTAGAAAAACGACAATATCTTCCAAATAATTGATCAGATCATTCAAGGTTACGAATCTGACATTTCCATCTGTGAAAAAAGGGTCCCTTCAAATTTCGCTTCCCTTTAACAATAACAATGTTATCTATATTGTTTACCAGCAAGAAGAGCGTAGGATACAGCATCTGATCTTAGTTTGACTGAAGCAGCTTCAGCTGGTCCAACCTTGGGGTCAGCTTCTACCTCACGTTGTTTTCCAACTGAACCCTGGATAGATAGATATATAGATAGATTGATATATAAATCAATATATATATATATATATTTATATATATATATATATAGAAAGTGTATCTATCTTTATATGGTTTGTACGCGTAATTTCAACTGACCCTCCTTGAAAAGATGGCAATGCCCGATTTACAACAATACCAATAAAAATTTGTCTGATCAAGGATGAATTGAAAATAAATTTCTGTTTATTTTCATTTGCGGTTTCTCTGAGAAAGTGACTTGCGCGTTTCTTGTTGATTAGAAGCAATAGAGAAAATCGCAGAAATAAACACTTTCCGTGCCAGAAAAACGACAATATCTTCAACATTTATGATCAAATTAAGGTTTCAAGGGTACCGTTGTTAATCGGGCATTGTCATCTTTGCGTGGAGGGTGACTTGAAATTACGCTTACAGTCCCTTCAAGTGTGGAATCTCTACTAGCTGTCTACATTCTATTGCTGACTAATCAAGTTTAAAAAAGTGCTTTATTTCTTAAGAGCACTTAATGTTTAGAAACACTCAAAGGTAAACTAAAGACGACATTTAACACGGAAACTAAATAGAATGTCGTCTCATGAAATCTTTACTATTTTTCAATATAAAAAACTTGTAACAGTTAAAAGTAGCGACGAGGATATCTACGTCATTGATCTTTAGGTCATCATGCTGACATCATACAAATAATTGGAGGCAGGGTTTATGTTAATATATTTATGGAAACTATATTTAAATGTTTCCGATGTTGTTTCCTTATTTTTCCTTTTCATATTTAATAGGTGAACCCTGTTTATACTTCTCGGCTCAACACTGGTCATACATTCTTAACGTTTCTTGAAGCTTTTCGGTAATCTGAAATATTAAAACTATAATGATGGAAATGTGAAGTTAGTGTCCGAATTTTATGAATTTGAGCCGCGTCTCAAAGCCGCCAAAAACCGGTTTTCAATTGAGCGCCGGCTTAAATCTTGAAACATTGAATAAAATTTTAAGTGGAACCAACCATAGTTGAATCGCGTCTTAAATTTAAGCCGCGGCTCAAATCTTAAAATTCGGCCTCAGAACTTGTGCATTGAGAATCTCAGGATCAAGCCTTGATCTTCATCTTCTGCATATCTACAGATTTATTTAATTGCTCTATGATATCCTGTGTTGGCCATACCCAGCAGGAATTACACTTATTTATCCTCAAATTTAAGAGTGACCACATATAATATCGATATCAAGCTTTCAATATTAACAGTACGTCACACAAAAGTAAAAATTTCAAATTTTAAAAAAGTGGAGAGTTGTTCATGTAAAGTGTTACCCACAAAAAAACTTAAAAAACGACCCGTCAGGACTTTATATTTTAACAATAATGGAGCTCGAGGATACTCTAGTTTTGACTCTTCCAGAACATTTGTTACAACTTGAAAGAACCAAAAACAATTCAACCTTCATTCAGTCACATTTAAAGAGTTTAGGAGAACCTTTAGAGTAACTCTGTATATCAGTTCAAATGTCAAATATTATTTTTATTCTAGGCAAAGAAATACATCGTGTTGATTTTAAAAAAAAATTGGGGTTTAGAGAAT